CGTGCGATATACGTTTAGGTGATATTTTGTCATAGAAAGCGTGCCGTGCAATATACGTTTAGGTGACATTTTGTCATAGAAAGTGTCATGTACAATAAGGTGACATCTTGTCAGGGAAAGTGTGATACTCAAAGAACTATCATTTTGTCAGGAAAAGTGTATATACATCAAACTAACATTTTGTCAGGAAAAGTGTGATGAATGACAAGGTGACGTTTTATTATAGAGGGTGTAAGGTGCGATATACTTTCAGGTGACTTTTTGTCGCGGAAAGTGTGATGTGAGCAAAACAGAGATTGTAGCGAAAGGGTTAATACGTCTACGTGTTCCTGATAACTTCCCATTTATTTCCTCTCCTGTTGACATAAAACTTCACGCTCCCCCCCCCTCTCTCTCTCTCTCTCTTTCTCTCTCTCTCTTTCTTTCTCTCTCTCTCTCTCTCTCTCTCTCTCTCTCTCTCTCTCTCTCTCTCTCTCTCTCAGGTCATTCCCCCCCGTAACATGAAAAAACCCTGAAGACATTTTCATATTGTCATGTTGGCCAGCTCCGTGAAAGGAACATCCCATAAACACGCCTCTACTGCAAAATTGGATCGTGGTATTCATTGCACACTTTTGGAGTGTAACCAGGCATGAAGGCGTTACGGCTTGCTGCAGACACAAATTTGCGGTGACCTGGAAAAAATAGGTGGCCGATATACCTTCTAGAAAGGTACAATGACAATAACAATCTTTATTCATCTCACAGGGAGAAATTTGTCTTGGTCGTATGCAAATTTAAAAAAAAAGATAAAAAATAATTTTTAAAATGGTGAAATGGCTTGGGTTTAACGCCCCTATCAACACTATTAATCCAGGTTATTTAAGGGGTGGGATCTCCTAGTTTAACGTTCGTCTCCGATAGGACCGAGGCAAGTTGGAAATTCGTGTAAAGTGCCTTTCCTAAGGACACAACGTTGGACCGAGCTGAGGCTCGAACCCCCCAACCTGCAATCTCAGGTTGTTTACAATGGCAGGGGAATATTACAGAGGTTAGGTGCACTCACGCATACACAAAACAGGACAGAACATAAGTAAATAAAAAGATATTTTGCGATCTGAAACAACCCACTCCCTGAAACACACACACACACACACACACACACACACACACACACACACACACACACACACA